GTCAGAAGGGGTCCTGAGTGTGTTGCCAAGGAACCAGACTTTTAGGGTTTTTTTGTTTTGTTTTGTTTTTTTCCGTCTTTTTGAGACAGGGTCTCTAAAATCGAACAATGAATTTTAGGAACAACGGAGGTTAAGAGCAGAATACATTTATTGAAAGAAAGAAAGCTTCTGTCCAAGAGAGGGTCAGAAGGGGTCCTGAGTGTGTTGCCAAGGAACCAGACTTTTAGGGTTTTTTTGTTTTGTTTTGTTTTTTTCCGTCTTTTTGAGACAGGGTCTCACTATGCAGTTCAGGCTGGTTTTGAACTCATTAACTCACTTTGTAGCCCAGGCTGGCCTCAAACTTGGAAGGATCCTCCTGCCTCAGCCTCCCGAGTGCTAGGATTACAGGCATGTGCCACCATGCCCCGCTTTTAGGGATTTTTATAGAGCAAATCCTCCAGGTGAGGTAGGTCCAAGGTGGGAAACATGGGATGGGAACTCAAAAGGTGGGCATGAGGTGGGACAAAACTATGGTCAACCAATAAGATTCCAAGTATAATCCCTCAGGTAAAATTGATTAAATGGGGATCAAATGGGGGAGTGAGTCACATGGCAAGCAGACATGAATACAGAATACAGAACAGCGGCCTTTCCTGTAGGGGGTTGTGTTAGTGATGCTTCCTGGCTTTCTCAAGGTGATAGAGACCTACTTAGAATATCAATCCCTGATGTTTATCCTTAGGGAGGTATGTGGGTGCATTTATTTCATCTTTTTTTTTTTTTTTTTTTTTTTGGAGACAGAGTCTCCCTATGCAGTTCAGGCTGGCCTTGAGCTCACTTTGTAGCCCAGGCTGGTCTGGAACTCCAAAAGATCCTCCTGCCTCAGCCTCCCGAGTGCTGGGATTACAGGCGCGTGCCACCACGCCCGGCTTCAGTTCTTTTCCTCCTGTCAGTGCCCCGCACCTCCGGATCAGGACTGAGGGCGCCCCTGCCTCCTGCTGGGACGTGCGGCCCCTTTTTGCCCCCATGCCATCCAGGCCGCTCGTTCTTATCAGCGGCTCTGGTCGAGCCAAGCTCCGGTTTGTTCCCCTTCAGCGTTTTTAAACCATCAGAAGCGGCTGCGGAAGGTGGCGTTTTGGTATCTCTAGCTTTTCATCTTGGTCCGCCTGGGAAGGCAGACTCTGCCGGGCTCCTTACAGGAACACCCCGCGGCCCCTGATGTGTTGTCCTTCCAAACGGAGCTGAATTCCTCTTGCAGTGTTTTTCTTAGCCTCTTGCCTCGTGAGGCTGCTGACCCGGCCCCTCCGTGCCCCGCGGCTGAGCCCGCGCAGGAATTCCGGAGCTTTGCAGCCGCCCTCGGGGCGCTGCGGCTTCCTCTAACCGGCCAGGGCTGGAGGCTGTGCCTGGCTCCCCGCGGACCCGCGCCTCCACAGCTGCACCCAGGCGGCCCCGAACTCCCGCTCCTTACGGCGTGCTGGGAGTTAGCAGGAGGCCGGGACCAGGCCGGAAGCGAGGCAGGGCTCACTGCTGGAGGCCGGAAGCGGGGTCCCAGGGGCAGGGCCGCAGAGGTGCAGGTGTGCCAGGAGGGAGGTGCGCGCTGCACCCCACGCTCCCCAGGCCCGGTCTCGGCTGAGCACGGGGCTGCAATCTCCCAGCCGGCGGCTCCTCCAGCTTTACCAGCTCACCCAGCAGGGCGGGATCCCTGCGACATCGCCGTGCGACCCGCAGCCCTCCCTGGGGCATCTGCGCCAATTCTTCCATCGCCCAGTCCGCGCAAGAGCGCAAGGCCCCGTCCTCCGCGCGGCGCGGCGCTTGTCCGGGGCGCACAGGGCTCCGGGTCCCGGCGCCTACAGCAAGCAAACGTAGAGTACATTGCCGCGCGTGGTGGTCCTCACCGGCAGTCCCAGCACTCAGGAGGCTGAGGCAGGAGGACGCCAGTTTGAGCCCAGTCCCCCCACCCGGGCTTCCATGTTTGCAGAAATCAAGGAAAACATGGACACAAGAGCGGGAGGAGTAGGAATAGCGTTGCTGTCTTCGGGCGAGGGCGTATTGGAGGCTCTGCTCCCGGTGTGTGCGCACGCGCGTGTGGACTCAGGGCCCCAAGGGGTGGGGTGTGAACTCGAGAGATACCTGCACCAGCCTCCCCTCCCCCGGCCCGGACCCCCGTGGGTCCCCAGATTCCGAATCCACGGCGGCCCCCGCCGCGCCAGGGATCCGACACGTGGCTCTCACACCCTCCGGGGCTCCCTCTTGCCCGCGGGGTTCACCGGGGGACGCGACACCCGGCTCTACGCTCGGCCTGCCCTCATCCCCTGTCCGGGGCAGCGAGGCCCGTGTTTGATGTGGGGAAAGCGGCGGCAGATTGCGGTTATCAGGGCGCAGTGGGACATGCCTGGGCCACCAGGGCCGCCGACTGCTGCCAGCAGGGCAGAGGGCAAACAGCCGCTGAGCCTCGTCTGTGCCGAGGGCTTTAGTCACTGGCTGCGCCCGCCCCACCCTAGCCCACCGCCCCCCAGTCGCGTCTCACACCAAGGTGAAGGCGTGGCCAAGGCGTGGTCGCTGGATCCAGTCCTTGCTCAAACATTTGTTTTCGAGGCCAGAGGCCCGCAGGGGCCTCGCCCTCCCGGCTGTCTCAGGGCACAGTCGCTGGCCGGCACCCCAGATGCCTGTGTCCCCCAGAGACCCA